CTAAAACTGACGTCTTTTCATTGGTCAGCCGGTTAGCGCGGTCGATGCTAATAATAAAAAACACACACACATCGGAGGACATGTGTTGCAGTCTTTGACAGTGAGTGGAAAACTACGCTGTGTGGATGTCTGTGTCAATGCTTGGTCCGTTTGTTCTGGTTCCTTGTTGTTGATATTTTTGTGGCGTGCATGTCTCGATGCTTGGTCTGTTTGTGACGGTTTTTGCACTTTGATGTATGTTGTGTATATGTTTCAACGCGTCGTCTGTTTGTTCTGCTTCCTTTTTTGTTGATGTTGTTTTTGTTGCCTGCATGCGTGTCTCGATTCTTGGCCTGTTCGTCCTGGTTCCCCAGCTGAGGCGGGTATGGAAGTGGACCGAGCATCGGTGCAGCAGCTGGCGATAGGGTACAAGCGCGAGCCGGTGGACCCGTTCAATTTCATCCTCTCCATGCACTTCGTCAAGGTGAATGTTTGTGTGTGTGTCTTTGTTGTTACACAGCATCGATGGCGCTACTAGCCGGGTGACCAATGAAAACGCGAAGGCTACTGTCTATACATATCATGGAGTCGTTCTTGACCACCCGCTCTCCGGTTGGCGAGACGGGCGCGATGAAGGCCAGCGATAGATTCGCACTGTTGGCAAAATGGCGGTTTTGTCTCCGCCACGCTGAAACCGAGTGCAGCCACATTTGTTCCCCCGGGTGGGGGGCATTTGGAGACCTTTCCCCCTTGGTAAGACTGTTGGAAACTCTACATCCGTGTCAAGACGGAGGAAGCACGAGTCCGTGCCGATTCTTGTAGAACGGAGGTAAGGCTGTTCTATTCTTGAACGCGATGCCCACTCCCGTTCGATTCGCCTCCTTGGTGTGCAATGAAAATCTCTGGCAATTTTTTGTTTTACCAACCCACGTCGCCCCCGCTGACGCGACCGGCGTGCTTGTTCGCTTTTCCTTGTCTTCTGCGTGTCTGCGCCCCCATTTTCTCTCAAAATGATTCGACGAATCCAGGTTTATCGCACCCAGATCGAACCAGAGTTCATTTACGTGTCTTCTGCCGGGGTGCCACCCATGACTGACAGCAACTACGACCGCATCCTCGAGGTTAGTATGCGGTGAGGGCACCGGATGTTTTCTGTGTGTTACCGCCTTCTTTTTTTGTTTTCCTCAGTCGTTCCGTGTAAAAATTTACACCCAGAAATGTATGTTTTGCACCAGACTGGTGTCGCGACATACGGCAGGCGTACGGAAAACCGCGCTAATCCCCTTGCCCTTGTTGACGGACAGCAGCATGATTCATCAGGGGGGAACGGAGGCACGATAATGCTTTCGTTTTGTTTCGGCCACTCCCCTCCCTTTGTCGCCATCATCGGCGACTAACACTGAAAACACCCCCCGTGTTATCTCCTCTTCCTTCACTTCGTGGCGTCCGCTCACGCTCAGACCCTCAAGCACGAGAGCCCCAAATGCTACTACAACGCCAGGGGGGAGGAGCTGCTGCGCAAATCGGGGCTGACCTACACGATCATCCGCGTGGAGGGTTTCAACAACCTTCCGGGAGGCATTCAGGCCATAGAGATCAAGCAGGCAAGGATAAGTGGAGGGAGGGAGAGATTGGTTGTCGCGCCAAGAGCGCGTGGCGACGGTCGCACGCTCTCTACCACAAACATTCAGACTGTTTTGTTAAGTATTTGTTTCGTTTTAAGACTTTCCAGTTGGCTTGTAACCGCGGAAGGAGTCCGCGTCAGTTGAACCAGTACGGACACTGGAAGGTACTGAGCGGAGACCGGACCGGTTTTTTCTATGAAGACAACAACAACAACAGCAACAACAACAACAACAACAACAACAACAACAACAACTAAGCTTTTCGAACATATCGAAGCTAAGATGCACGTGTCCCTGCCCTCTCCTGGCCCTGGTTGTTGCTTCCGAATCGATTTGCGCAACTGTGTGTTCGCCCGCACTCTTGGGGGTAGTCTTGGTCGCGCCCCCTCATCCCGCACTCTTACCGTCCCTCTACCCTTTCACTTCACGGTTACTTTACCCTTTCACTTCACCGTTACTTTACCCTTTCACTTCACCGTTACTTTACCCTTTCACTTCACCGTTACTTTACCCTTTCACTTCACCGTTACTTTTCCCTTTCACTTCACCGTTACTTTTCCCTTTTACTTAACCGTTTCTTTACCCTTTCACTTCACCGTTACTTTTCCCTTTCACTTCACCGTTTCTTTACCCTTTCACTCTAGCGTCACTTTTCCCTTTCACTTAACCGTTCGTTTGCCCTTTCACTTCACCGTTACTTTATCGTTTCACTTCACCGTTCCTTTACACTTTCACTTAACCGTTCCTTTACCCTTTCACTTCACCGTTACTTTATCCCCCTCTCCCGCCCCCGTCCTCTCGAGGACGTGCGGCCAATCGTCTATCGACTCCCCATGGTATATAAGACGGCATGCAAAACATTAGCACATCCCCGTGACCCCCCCCCCGGTGTTTTGCCATCGGGGTTGGGTTTTCGTCGCTTGGCAACGACGTTGTAAAACAAGCCGCCCCTCCCGGTGTTTGCCATCGGGGTTGGGTTTTCGTCGCTTGGCAACGACGTTGTAAAACAAGCCGCCCCCCCCGGTGTTTGCCATCGGGGTTGGGTTTTCGTCGCTTGGCAACGACGTTGTAAAACAAGCCGCCCCCCCCGGTGTTTGCCATCGGGGTTGGGTTTTCGTCGCTTGGCAACGACGTTGTAAAACAAGCCGCCCCCCCCGGTGTTTGCCATCGGGGTTGGGTTTTCGTCGCTTGGCAACGACGTTGTAAAACAAGCCGCCCCCCCCGGTGTTTGCCATCGGGATTGGGTTTTCGTCGCTTGGCAACGACGTTGTAAAACAAGCCACCCCCCCCGGTGTTTGCCATCGGGGTTGGGTTTTCGTCGCTTGGCAACGACGTTGTAAAACAAGCCGCCCCCCCCGGTGTTTGCCATCGGGATTGGGTTTTCGTCGCTTGGCAACGACGTTGTAAAACAAGCCAATTCACTTCGTGAACTCGGCAACCAGGTTACCGTTTTTTTTTTTTTCCTCCGTTTATTTTTTTTGGGCGGTAACCATAATGATGGTTGAGTAGATCATGTTGTGCGGGGTGAACCCTCACTCCGCGCAAGGGGGATGATCGCACCACGTTGTGTTAAAATGGTCAAGCACCCTCGAGGCAGTTACACAGTGCTTACAACTGTCTCTGGAAGTGAAAGCACCAGAAAATAAATTAATTCATACGCAGCTGTCATCCGTACGCAAGGAAGTAAGCACAAGATGCCGAACACCCTTAGCAGGATGCAGCGCACCCTTCATGCGACTCGCCGAATATCTCACGGCGCTTCGCGCTTGGTGATGTGAGAGCCTGGTCCGGTGAGAACCCGGCGTGCTCCGTCCCGGCTTTGTAGGGATGCGAGGTCAATGGTCTAACGACTACGGCATGCACGACTATGAGTACACCCCCCCCCCCTGACCCCTCGTCCCCGCCGCGGTGTTTACCATCGGGTCTGGGTTTTCGTCGCTTGGTAGCGACGATATAAAACAAGCCGATCGCTTCGTGCGCTCGACATCCAGGTTACCGCTTTTTTTTTCTCTTATGGTTGATATTTTTTGCGGTAACCATTATGATGGTCGAGTAGATTATGTTGTTCAGGGTCGAGAACCCTCACTCCGCACAAAGGGGATGATCGCACCACGTTGTGTTAGATTGGTCAAGCACCCTCGAGGCAGTTACATAGTGCTTATAACTATCGGTGTGAAAGCACCACAAAATAGATTTAAGTCATGCGCAGCTGTCATCCGTACGCAAGGAAATAAGCACAAGATGCCGAACACCCTCAGCAATGCAGCGTACCGTTCATTCGATTCGCCGAATACCTCACGGCGCTTCAGGCTTGGTGATGTGAGAGCCTGGTCCGCTGAGAACCCGGCGTGCTCCGTCTCGGCTTCTTTGGGATGCGAGGCCAATGGTCGGACGACTACGGCATGCACGACTACGAGTACACATCCCCCCCCCGTGCCTCCGTCGTTTTTTTGTATTTTTCGGACCCGGAGAAACGTGAGCACTCTGTTCCTTTTCTTTTTGCCCTTACGCTTAACCCGTTCCTTTCGCCCCCGTGCGTTCGTTTTTTTTTTTGGTAGGACCCGGAGAATGTGAGCAAGGTTTCGAGGGCCGACGCGGCAGAGATCACGGTGCAGTGCTTGCTGGACCCGCGAGCGTGCAACCTGGCGCTCTACACGACGACCGCGAGGCAAGCACCTTCGGCGGCAAATCCGGACCAGAAAATGACGACACAGCTTAGCCGCCTGAGGCCGAACACTTAGAAACAGAGGTGGCGGTGGCGGCAGAGCGCGGAGCTGAGCTCCGAGTTCATTCACGTACGATGGTGGTGTTGCAACGATGACCGGGTTATTGACGATGGTTCAGCGGGGGGCACCCGCGGAAGAAAATAACAAACACGGTGCACCAGCCGGGGGGAGGAGGGGAAGGTCGGGTCGAAAAACTATGTGTTCGACTTTCTCAGACCTGCATAAGACACGCGAGAAAGCCATGGCCGTGATGCAATATGGCTCTGTTCTTACGACGGCTAGGCAGGTGTCTGTGGAGGAACCCACGTGTGTCTCCATCAGCGGCATCAGAGGGGAGGGCGAGGAGGAGAGATGGGAGGCTGGACCCGACAGAAGGGAAAGTAACACGCATGCGGGGCCGTGGCAACGATGACCCAAGCGCCTTGCCTTGCAATCGTAGCGTGCGACGAGGTCCACGGCGAGTTTTTTCACATCTACGAAGATAAGCGAATAGAGTCAACCTCTCTCTCATCGGAGGCGGGGGTTGGAAACTAGAGACACAGAAGACATGATCGAAAAAACGCCGAACGTGTCTATCTTAGGAACCGCGTTTAATTCGAGGCGTGGTAGTAGTTAGGAAAGGGTTGGTTTGCCTGCGCGTTCCCGACATTGTTGGGGTGGGCGGGTGCGGCGGAAACAGACCAGGGGGGAAGGGGGTATTGACCTTTCGAGGGGGGATGCGCAGAATTGTCTATTAGCTGGCAGGGTGGCGCCGGCCATCGTGCTGTGCCTTTTGATCAAACGTTCGGCCATTTCGATCGCCTCCCGACACGATTGATGGAGAGGGCGGATGCATGATGCGGCTCTCCTGCCTTAACTGACGTTTTTATTTCTCCCCAGAATAGCTCGCGATCAATGTGACTCAAGGTCGACGTCGAGCGTGCTGCATTCGGTCTCGTTTGATGTGACGACCTATCATTAGAATCAGGGAAGAGTCCACCCCTCCCCCCCCCGCTTTGTACATTCGCTCGCATCCAGATGAACCCTGAAGGCGGTGGTAGAGGACTTGTTGTCTCGAGCGTTGTTTCGTCTCTTTCGTCCTGCTTGCTGGGCGAGGGATAGCCTCCGTGCGATCACTGTATTGTGGTCGGTACGTAGGGTAGCGACCGGGACTGCCATGCGCGTGTGAACGTTTCTCGAAGCTTTAATGGGGTCGTTGGTGAGAGTCGTGAAAACGGGGTCATGATTCGACATTCGAAGAAGCTTGTTCTTCGGTGCTTTTCGTCACCAGGCAGACCGGTGATTGATGCGACTGCTGTTGTAGTTGGGGGATACATGCATGCATGCGTTGCACGGATCAACGTTGAGTCGGCCCCCGAGGTTGCACCCCAGACGCGAGTGAGTTTGATGTTGTTTCACATTGGTGAAGGTACGTACATATCCCATTAGATAAGAACAAGTCTTCCGCTTCGTGTGTATCGGAACGGTTTCATGTTTAGTGGTGGTGGAGAACGGAAAAAAAGATTGTGATGTTTGTATATTTGCCAACGGCGAGAAGCGAAGAGACCCTACGGGCTACATGCTCGAGGGTGAGGTGTTGAGCCCGAGTCATATGGCTTCTACATAGGTCTACCCCTCTTACACCCGGTTTAGAGTACAAAAGCTTTTTTGTTTTTCAGAACTCTACTTTTAACATTGGCGATGATATCTTCCCCATCGCATGTACGCACACGCCGTATGTGCCCCTGAAATACGCTAAGCCGCAATCGTATTCTAGAGGAATCTCGTTATCCTCACCTCCTCCGTCGTTGTCGAGGGTGAACAATGTCCTTTTTTTTGTTCTTCCTATTTCTTTGTCTCTGTGAAGTTGCCCTGAAGCGAGGCTAAAGTTTGGCGAGCTTCTCTGTGCAAAAAGCCACAGCAGTAAAACGTGATTGCGATGGTGGACGCGACTACCGTATTTGACACAAGACAACACACCCCAAAGACCGATTTTCAAAGCTCGACTTCTCCACGACGAAGAGGATGAACTAACGAAACGATACCTTTTCGGAAAGCTCTCGACGAGACGGTTCCAACGCCGCCTTTTTCGGCGCTGTGACTCTTCCTGCCGTTGAGAAATCGAGCTTCGAAAATTGGTCAAGGGGGTGAGTTGTCGTGTATCATATACGGTATATATGGTAGACAGGAGCCAAGAGTGGTCTGGACTCACTTTGGTTGGTTACGCTATGAAGCTGTCTGCCTTCAAGGTGTTGGCACCAACCAAGTTCCTTCCTACTGCAGCACTACTACCCTCCGGAGCGCTTACACCCACCACAGCGCGATGTGTAAACTCAAAATAGCTGTCTTTAGGCCGCATCGCTTCGGGTCGCGATTTTCCCTCTTGACACCGGTTGTGCTCATACATGTCGACGGGCGGAGTCACCGTCCTGTTGGCCAGAAACCACCTCGACAAAATTTAAATTTACGCATCCATCCATCCATCTCCGCACTGGGAGAGACAAACCGATGAAACCATTCCCGGGAACACCTGACCGGCGACACAAGGCGCGCGATGATCATCGCTGTGTTCTCGAGGGCAACTCCAACATGGTCCACCCGCTCTCTCTCGACTAGTCTATTTTTTTTTCGTCCGTCACATTAAACCAGCGCTGAAAGCATTACCCGCCAGGTAGGGGCTGTCTCCAGTGGGTGGGCACACAAGTCTAGAACGCAGAAAATAGCAGTTTGGCATTCCATGGGACGCGCCTTTCCGCAAAACGAGGAAAGGAGAGGTCCGCATTCAAACCAAAATAAGAAATATCGAAGACGACACACGTCGGACACTGTTCTTCATTCTTCGCTGGAACCTCCAGAGCTCGATATTTACTTTTCCGTTGTGTTGCTGTCTTCACATTTCAAAACCGTTCCGGTCTGCTCAGTATCCTCCACCGTCCGCACCGGTCAACCTGACGCCTTCCGTGGTGACAGGCCAACGAACGCCCCACAGCAGGGTACCACACACCTTGCGATACCCAATTACTATCAAAGAGGACGTAGAGAGCCGTTGCTTCTCTAGAAAAGTGGTTGAACAAAGATGCCGGCTAGTGTCCAAATAATATCGAAAACGACAAAAAGAGAGTCATTGATATATCTAGAAAAAGCCGTTGAACAAAGGGGCCGGCTAGATCTCAAAGACGACCAACAGAGAGCCGTTGGTCTCTCTGGAAAAATTCGTTGAGCATAAGGGCCGGCTCGTGTCCTAAAAATCTCAAAAAAAGTTCACTAGAAAAAGTCGTTGAACAGGAGCCGGCTAGGGTCGACGCCATGGTCCGTTAATCGGTCCGTCAACTCCATAGCCCGTTTTCCCGGCAACCCCGCCATCAGGAAGGAAGCCGCGCCCGGGTTTCCTCCTACGGCGCCCGCGAGCCCCGAACCGTGGGAGAACATCGCTGCCTGATGAAGGGCGCAGGCATCGAATACAGGAGGGAGAATCAACGCACAGCCGACAAAGATCAGTGGTGCGTCGAGGAACGATTGCCCGCCTATATTAACTATTTGCCGTCAGACGGTGCTCATTAGCATCGGCAAGTGCTGCTGTAGCGGTTTTTCGATGAGTGGGATAGAGTTTTTTTTTACGAGTGGGATCGAGATTTTTCGATTACAGTTCATGTATGTGAAAGGATAGCTCTGCGGGTCCGTCGGTACATACGTAATGTCACGTCTTGCTAATAAAATATGAGTTCCCGATCATCTTCAACCAGAAGGCTTGTCGCGAGTTTGGTAGTCTGTCTCTCTTGGCACAAGACGTAACAATCTACGCGGTGCAAAAACATCAAAGCAATGCCCATATTTCCACAAAAGCGCGGAACCCCTCCGTCCCGAGTAAATCTGGACCAACACCCGTCTCGACGCTAACGGAATTCCCGTTGGTAGCACAGACAACCATCGAAAACAGGATCATGTCAATGAAACCCGCCCATCCCAAGCAACACATGTCGGGAAGATGAGAAGCGCATAGGAAACAGCCGATACAGCAATAAGTTGTTTTGGTGATAATAATTTAGGCGAATATGAAACAACCGTTGCAACGAGTTCTTCGGCAAGCTTCCCAAGAAGAAAAAGTAGACCGAAAAGAAAAAAAACTGCAATAACAATGACAAGGTTCTCGTGTACATAGCAACTACTGCGGTTAATGGCGAAGCCGATCTCTCGCCTCGACGCTGACGGGGTTTTCGTTAGTCTTGGCCGTGTAGCACTGGGTCACACGAATGCCCGATGACCTCCAGCCGCCTGACTCGTTGATGAACGGCGCCGCAGCTGGGCTTTCAAACTCCAGGAAGACACTCACCTGCGGAGTACAACCATACCGCACAAAAATAACCATGGGCTGTAGCTGGGCTTTCGGGCCCCAACAAGACCCTTTCTTGTAAGAGTACAACCATATCACACCATTTAACCGCGGGCTACCGCTGGGCTTTCGGACTCCAAGAAACGCCTACCTGGAGAGGACAACCACACCACACAACAACATCACCGCGGGACAGCATACAATGTGTAACGGTGCGGTACCCCCGTGTTTTCGGACGCCAATCTTTCTTGTTGGAGATACCAAAAGAGCGATTTTTAACGCGATTCCGGGGCGAACTGTTGAAAAAAAAACATATACCTGGTACAGTATATATCGCCATATACCTGGTGCAGTATATAACGCCATATACCTGGTACAGTATATATCGCCATATATCTGGTGCAGTATATATCGCAGAAAGACTACATGTTCCCGTTCGGGATGAAACCACAGTTGATTTCTTTGTAGCAAGTAGGATTCATATGTATGTATATTCTAGGTAGCTACTTTGTCCGCAACCAATGGCGAAAGCTGGAGGCCCCGCGCTCGACCCAGCCCCGTGCATCAGCACAGCATGGGCGTCATTTTCGCAAGGCCCGGTGCCGCGTTGAACATCTTGTAACCGTCTTATCGCCACGAACTGAGGAAGGGCAACCTTTTCCGCAGGTCTCGCTGACGCGTTCAACACCAGGTACCCGTACAGTAGCAATCGTTTCAAACGCAGGAGCAACGGGAGCGCCTACCAAACCTACCAACCACCGTCCGACCCAAGCAACGCACGATACCTTCTTGATACCGGCATGAGCCTGGACGGGAGGCCAGTCGAGCACGGGCTTGACAGAGCCTAACCCCCTAGCGCCTGATGCCACTATTACAATGTCCCGCTGTTCCTGAAAAAAAAAAAACAGAGAGTTGGTCGAGGGGACCTAGTTTGCAATCAAAGGGGACAAGGGGGGTGCATAGCCAACCACCCATCATGAGCACCGCGCTGCCCTGAGATACCGGGGCGACGTTGTGTCGGCAAGTACGGGGGGGGCATCATTTGCCGTCGACATACACTGCACTCCGGCGCACTGTTGTTTCCACCCCAAGACAGTTCGGTCAAATGGTGTTCGCTACAGGTCTCAAAGCTCGTCGGACTCATCTCGTCAGCGGCTTTTCCTTTCTTCCGACCTCTGTCAAATGTAATCTATCTCATCTTGGCATCCTCTTTCGTCGCGGAGTAATCGACCGGGCTTCGAAAAATCGGTCAGCGGCGTGTGCCTTCGTGCGCGAACCCACGTGCCGCACTTCAACATCCCCCCGCTGCACAACTGGACAACAGTCTTCTCAGGAAATGCAAACAAATGCAATCAAACAAGACTGCCCGTTCAAGTTATAACCAAAGTGGCAGTCGAAAGAGATGCGTTGAAGTCTTA